ATACGGCATCTTTGGCCTATCCTTTTTATTATTGATTTCCCCTTTTTTCGCGTTCATAGATGATGAGACACAGATAAGCAAAGAATGATCGCTTAATCTGAAAATGCACGTATGGCCATTTTTTAACGCTAGCATCCTGATGCATAACCCTTGTTCCTTTATATATATATATATCAGTATGTACACACATACTTTTAGTTAAATCTTTGAACCATTGATAGCTATTAGGACTACTGTTAATTAGAAGAGCGAGCCTTCCTTACAGCAACACACCGGCCGAAACGAAGCCCCCATATACGTTATAAAAGATCCTTTTTACGCCAGAATTCTAGTTAAGGGGAGCATACTGTACATTAGAAAACGGTGATCATATGCAGGAGTATTCCCAGTGAGGGAATTAAGGCGTTTCAGCCCTTTTTGAACAAGTTTATCGTTCTTATTCGGAAAGATGCCAGATATGGTACAATGTGATTTTACGTTGTGTTAGTAATACAGTTGGTATGTACTAGTAAGTCAAATGAAGGCCGGAATAAATTCCGCTATACCGTTACATAAACATGTCACAGTAATTCTATGAAATTACTCAGTGTCTATGAAGGTAAGAATCTATCAAGATAGACAGATTATTCAAGCACTCTGATTCTGATGTTCGACAGCCTTGACCTTGGTACCATATTGTTTCAATCCACTGTGCTGATTGTCCTATATACCCATTGAAAGTGTTCCGCTATTGAAAAAAAATGCCTTTGCATAACCGATTCGCAAGAGTTGTTTGTTCTATAACAAATCTAGGTACCGTTATGTTACCACATGTCTTCCCCGTCAGTACAAGAAGAAAAACGGTGTGAATGATGACGTTGTCGTCTTTTTTATTGCTATTAGGATTTTAGCGGAAGTACTAAGCGGTCTGTGTCTACCGACGCTTTTCATAGCTGAACCTAGATTACTTCCTGTAAGCACCTGCAATTTACTGGTCGGCATCTATTTTGCCGCTGTGCTTCCATTGCACCCCATTACTGTTAACTTGTTGGCCTATTTAAGTTACCAAATTGCCTCACTGAGATGATCCCTTTATTTCAAGTTGACGCGTTCTACTGAGACTTTGAAGATCCTCATATAAATCCTAAGCCACACAAAAAAAAAATCAAGCAAGTAAAAAGTACAAAGACACGGATATCTTTTCAACTATTTCTTAACTATTTTTTAACCACCGAGGTGAAAAAAGAAAAGTCGATCTATGATAAAGTCAATTTTTGTGTCTAGTATAGGGGCATTAAAAGATTGAGTAACTTTTACAAAAATCTCAACCGCTGTCAAGATAATAGCTTAGAAATTTTTCCCGGTGTACATTGCCGCCTATAAGAATACGTTTCGTTTCCCAAACAAAGGTTTCTTAAACAATTTTTAGTAGCCGGGTCTCGGGCCGAGGCGCGTAAATCGTTATAGCCATGTTCGAAATGGTTATTAGATAGTAGATGGTGATTTTTTTTTGCGCGATGCTCAACTTACATTATATTACCGGTACTACTCAAACTACGTACTAGAGAACGCTCAAATACGATGTCATTGATATGAAATTTAAATACGATAGAAAATTGATTTTGTACAAAATTTTTTTCTATATTTTAAAGTTGCTACAATTATCCGATATAGATGGTTAATAATATATGCTGGAAACACACGAGACATATGACAAAAACAATACCGACATTTTCTTGTTATCGGCAGCAATGACAGGGAGCGTCACGGAGCATTGTTATCATCATGAGACAAGTCGAGTGAGGTACGGGCGTGCATTGCTGTGCCGTTCAGCCGGCGAACTCAGTTAGCCTTGCGATTGGGTCAACAGCAATTCAGCACTCCGCTACTACATTAGACGACAAGTACATACACAGTATATATAAAACTTAGAAGTAAGGCAAACCCAAGTAGCGAGTAGTTCTTACCGTTAAAGATATGCTCGGAATCGTTGTGACCAATGATACCATGCTAGCGATGGCACCAACGATGACCCGAAAGTACCTACCAGTGTTGGTAGTGCTGCCAGAGCGTCGTTTTGAAGACACACGGTAAATCGATTGTTGATTCGTCTGTTTGTTGACGACTGTCTGTCGGTTGTCGTCAATCATCCTCGATTATTTAATGATTTTGGACAGCTAAATGCGTTTCCCACTTATATCCAACGATAAAAAAGCAAAAAATATCTACGTTTCTTTTACCGCACGCCCGCTTGTCCCATTCAAAGGCAGACTGAAAGCAAGTTACATTCAATAAAAGCCAACGTGTTGACACTGCAAGTTAGATGACTTAGGGTAGCACATCGTCGACGCGAATTTCATAAAGAAACTACAAAGATTGCGTAGCCTGAGAATACAAGTCAGCTTGGTAGAAATACGTGTATACGGTATAAAGTTTGTCAGTTGTCAGGCTGTTTGCCGTAACATGAGTTGCCATGCTGGGTATCAAATGAAAGCCGATGTCTGCTACAAAAAATTTGTCACGGACAACAACGCCTCACTTTCCGAATTTGGGCAATATCCAATTTCTACACATTGGATGAACTTCCAAGATTATAGACTTTTTAGTGTACCCCAGATCGTGTCGCAAGTGTGCCTGCGGCTGTAGAAGAAGCAGAAGCAAGTTCCGGCGCCGAATAACGGAAATGTTACGACAGGACTCCAAAATAAATCGCTGCCTCCCAAAAATGCATCTCCAATGATCCTTCTGTTACGGTCAGGGGGTTAGTAAAGCAGTTGCATATGAGCGATCGTACGATGTCACGAAGGCCTCAAGTATTACTACAGGACAATCAGACTAAGAGATTTGATCGTGGTTCCTTCAAGAATAACGCAGATAGTCTTCTGTGATGAAAAACTTTTCGTTCGTCGCAGGCTTGCTTACGATGCATAGAATGTGCCTACTGCATGTAAAAGCCAATTTTCAGCCAAAGTTCATGTTCTAAACGTCGAGTCCAGTGGCGAAGACGTCATTTCATAGCAATTCTTTGACAAACGAGTTGATCAGCAGATCCTACCCGATCCGCAAATGGATAGCTGAAGTATCTAAGCCGATTGGCTAGCTTTTTTGGCTGCTTGGAACGAGCACATGTGGTCTCCGACCAGCCCAGATTTAAGTCCATCAGCTTACTATGCAAGGGGTATCATCGAGCGAGGGCTCATTCACCGGTACAATATGTCCTATTTGTAGTATTCTTATATCGTCCAAGTCTAATAATATTATCATTATTACAATAGTAGTATTGTTACGTATATTACGATACTGAATTATGTGGGCTAACGTGGTAAATTACCGATGTAAGGCCAAATGGAGAGGACCGGAGATCAAATCCGTAGCGTTCGACAGGGATAGCTCGTGTTAAACTAATGTAGCAAATTATCCACACATACTACGAACGGGAGCGAGTAATTGACTCAAAAAAATATCCGTTTTGGCGTCTTGAGTAGCGGAAGCAAGCTACGAAGATTGAACGTTACAATTCTACCGTACCAGACAAGTGGGTCATTACTTTGATCAAATGTCTATGTTGCACCTTAATTGTGCTGGGTGATTCTAATACTTGATGAAATGGGTATCGACGTCACAGGCAGCAGTAATAAATTTCTGGGCATAAGATGAACGATAACTGTTTAACAACAGTCGTGTTGTTTGTCGTCTACAGGTAATATCGTTTGTTTAGCTTATAACATTACATAATCCATATAGGGGCGATTATACTGGCTGCTAGTCGTTTCGCTCCCCAGCTCCGGCTGCTGCTGCTGATCATGATCGCTCTTCTATTTTGGTAGATATAAGTGCAAAAGATAATACAAATAACAACAAAATGTAAACAGAATACTGCGGGCATTTCGGTGCGTGCTTCATTTGAACTTCTGCGGGGCCTAGAAAAACAGACGAGTCTCATAGTAATTTATTTATAAACTATGGCGGACTACGTGTGTTGTTGTATAGCAACAACAGCGAACAATATAGCAACGTCTGTAACGCTCGTTGCATAAATGGCCAATCTCCAAAACGGGAGCAGTGTCAGTGGAAGCGAGGTAATGTTATATCTAAATCAGGACAAGACCCATGTGCTTCACTCAAGTGAAGGGAGCTGCTGATTAGTATCTAAGAAACATACAAGCAGTGGGAAGGGAAGGAAAGGAGAATGTTCGTCAGTAAGCAGCGCTTCTGCGCCACTAGCTGCTGGTGTTCTAGCGCCGGCCTAAACCCAGCCTGGTTATGGGCCATAACAATTTATTTCCTATGCATTTTACATGGTCCGATTCACCAAAGCTTTCCATAAATGTAAAATAGTTTTCAACAAACCACTTCGCTTTCAGCTGCTATTGATGATCTTATCAATCAATTTTTCTCGTTAAATGGACTTACATATATGGCAAGCAGTAATATAGCTCTACATATCTCAATAGATTTATATTAACCGATAATAATAATAGTGCTTCAGTTAAATGTCTTTTTTCAGACCTAATGACCACGGTTTTGTTTCTTCCTGTTATAGAGATCCAAGTATCAGCAAGTTCTGTTATTTGAGTGTTCGATGACAATGTCTTGTAGCATGTTATTTCCAGATAGATGAAATGCAGTAAATCCCTGACAAAATAAATTAAAATAATTCTAACCTGCCGTAGGTATACCACTAAGGGTCACATTAAAAATGAAAAATTTCTGTGATAGGGGCAATACCCCCAACGGGCTGTGGCATAATGTACGCCAAGATTCGTGAATGTAATTAAAGTCTCGTCTACTATAGAATTTTCGTAATACATATGGATCGTATTGTGTAGTGTGTATTAGGCTGATCACGAATCTACACGCGGAACACCAACGCGTCAAATGCAAAGGCAGTAATTATTTTCTGACAAGTCATAACATGGATATGTTCACAGGTTGAGACGAGTATAAGAATAGTACTGACATTTGTGACCGTTCAAGCACAATCAGATGTTTAAAGGAACATTGTACTCATCTATTTTCAGGTAATGGTGGACGCAGGACGTGTTTGAGAAGATGACCGTCGCGCTCAGAGGGAGGCGAGCGGCGTTGCGAGTGAACAGCACAAGCCCTCCATTGAGACAGCGTGAACAAATCTGTCTGTACGATGCAGACAACGGAAAACCCACTAGCAGAAAAGAACTACTTCTCATCCTTCACCCTACAACTACAATAATCTTCTATAGCAGAAGCTGTCAGCGGTTGAACGGCGGGATTCAAAGTCAAAGTGTTTCTGCTATCTGTAACTGCTCCAACAATCGCGATCTTTATAGCTGGAGCAATGAAGGACAATTTGTTTTTGAGCCTGTGGCTATCGTTGCAGCGCGTACAAAGAACTGTGTAAACCATAACAGCTGTACTTCGACGACGACGACGACAACGAAAGTCGCCATTACTGTTGATCCCCTGAGGAGTTGTCGACGGAACCGGCAAATAGCGTCTCTCCTGAATCCTAACACAAGCAACGGCAGCAGACAGCTTGGTAAAAACAGTTACAATTTCATCAACAGTTGCGAAGTGCACTTCTAACACAGTATTTTCTGCTGTATATTGCTGAAAGAAGAAGTGGCAAACCACCTCCTACTGCGGATAGAAAGGCACTTCGAAATTTCCTTCGTCATAGAAGCGAAAAGGGTTGCTTCTCGCTTTTCTCAAAGGGGCAGCCGTTACACGTGCGCATACGCACAGACACATATACACACAAGTGTTGTTGTGCCGTGGATGAGACAGATAAAGAGACGAATAAGCGAGCGAGGAGACGTGCGTGCTAGGTAATTTCTGCCGAAGGAAATAGGGAAAACGGATTCACGAGTAGTGGTGGTGATACATACCACTGACACCAGAAACACGATGAACACAATGGAATTAATGAACAGAAATGTGATCTGGGGTCGTGAGAAGACTCGAGGGGTCTTACGGTCTATTGGAATCGAACTCTTTGTCGGTCTGTTTCTCTTATGTTTGGCTGCTGAGACCGGTAATGCCAGTGAAGAAGCCACAACTGAAGACTTGCTTCTACCTATCCAGTTTAACGATGACGGATCAAAAAGTGAGTATTTCAATAGAATTCTATGTTGCACTAACGAACTTCTCTGCTCAACATAATTGATTGACTTGTATGTATATGATTGTGGACATCATTATGGAGCGGTCTTTTAGATCGTGACCGTCGTTGAATGTAACGAGTTAATCGAAGAACGATGACAGTTCTGTAAGTTTAAGAAACAAGCGTCTGGACTATTTGAGTATGATACTGTCTTCTATTAGGCCGCGTATAAATTAACTAAACTAATTATTGATAGATATGCTTGGATATGGTCAAAAGAAAAAAAAGTGGATATCATATTCATGTTTTTCAATTCTCTGAGCGGCAATCAGGACGAAGTTCACTGCATTGGGTAACGAATGCTGATCTGTAATTGTGGTATCCACTAGCTAGACACAGTCAGTGATAAACGTTCGCAAATAGAGAATTTTACACGTGTCTGTTTTACTTCAGGAGTTTTGAAATGGATCAACCGCAGATGTACTGACTAATAAATAAGGTTTTATTGAACTTATGGCAGTTTTGATATCCAGTGGCCAAGAGTAATTTTACGTGGATTGCTTTCACAGACAACGACTCTTTTGCGGAGGCCATATTGATGGAGTGTTCGTCCTGCCGTAGATCAAGCTCATAATTTTGTTTTGAAGAATTTGCTTAGAGCTAATTAAATCAAATATTAAAATAATTGATAATAGCACACCGTTGACACGGCAAAGCTTCACGCCGAATTCAAACCATGATCTAAAGAATTTGGAACTTCGAAGAAAGTCACGACCTGAGGCTGTTCGTCCCTGGCATGTTTTCCTAGGCCTGTGATTAAGTGCTTTAAACAGAAAAAGTACTAAAAGTATTTGCTATTGAAAAAAATGAACGTTTTTATTTACTGAAAAATTTCCATATCTTTCCAGTATACCATTGTAGACAGAAGTATAAAGACAGCTAAAAACATGACCTTTTCGACTGTAGGGGTTATTTCAACAAGCTCAGTTAATGAGTCAGTCAGTCAGTCAGTCAGTCAGGCAGTCAGTCCGTCCTTCTGCAACAAATATTCAACATGAATCATATTGACTCAACTTCGGAAAGTTGCGTAAAAAATTAGAATTACTTAAGTCATCATTTTTCAGCAAATGCCTCGCAGCCTAAGACTTATAAGATTTCCTGGAGCTTCGCTTGTCTTCTTTCTGACCTGCATTACACTCTATATATATATATATATATATATATATATATATATATATGGATATATATATATATATATATATATATA